ATCAACTCTGAGCTGACATCATGCAACAAGCTTATAAAAGCTGAACAAAACATTCCATGGCACGCCTTTGCCTTTATATCCATGGCTGTACTCATTGCGCAAAAATGTGATTATTTATCGATTATCGATAAACAATGGACAGACAAAAATGGCACGCTTTCATTTTGCCAAGCGATCAGCAATCAAACTGATTGTATTTAAGTATATGGAGTATCATAATGGATTGTGTTTAACTAATTGATTGATCGATACGATTGTGACACAGAGGAAAGACTAGAGATACACACACACACACACACGCATACCAATGCCATAAGTAGCACAGCAGCAATCAACATCAAAGAACAATTTCTTTTACTTTCTATAAAGCAAAACAAAAGCGTTGACTGTCTGCCGGCTTATGTATGTATGTAAGTGCGTCAGTCAGTTTATCAGTTCGTCAGTTTGTGAGTTCGTCAGTCTCGCATTCGTTTGTCACATTTATTCAATAAAGGCCAAGACGACTTCCAAGTGGAGAGTCGAAAAAGCGAGAGCGCTACGGCACAAAGAGTTAACCTCAATTTTTTGAGACGCACTCTGCCGCATGTTGTTGCTTAACACCAACACACCAACACCAACAACTGCTCCAACACTAACAAAAACAATAACAAAGCAAAATGAAAAAAAAAAAAAAAAATGCTGTGTAGTATTGTTGTTATTGTTCGGCTGTATATACATACATACATATCTTTTCGGTTAGAAAATTTCACTAACTGGAAGTGAAATGCAGAACAAATGACGTGTTTGCTGCCGCCCCCTGCCGGCCGCCGTCTCCTGCTTCGCTCAGAGATCTGTAAACACATTTTTTTGGCAAGCATTTTTATTTGCTGAGTTCATAAGCATTTAGCGCTGGCCAAATAAACTTGTTTCGTTCGCTTGGCAAATAAATTTGTGTGCCATGATCTTTTTAGTACAGCATCTTATGGATTCGTATTCAGATGAGTTCTGCTTAATGCCTTAGATAAATGAAATTTTTCGTGCTAGCAAACCAGTCTGACTAGTTCGAGCGCGTGTTTTACGCGCTGTGTATCGATTAGATTAGTCATAATTTCATATATTGGCATGCGAATAGAAGCGGAAGCTGAGCGTTCGTTTGGTTCGACTAGCGGCAAGTGCATCATCTCTTTTGTCTATCTAAAAACAAACACGCATTTAAGCTTAACTTTCCATTTCAATTGATTTAATCCTGTTTCGCTTGAATTCTATTGATTGTCTGTTTTTTTTTTTTATTTGACTTAATCCACATTCTTTAAGTTCGACATTTACCTAGAATTTTCTCATAAGAACACCGATTTTATTCTCCCTCTATAAATAGCAGCTGACGCCTGGACGTCGGCAGATAGACCCTCGAGCAACCCTAAAAGAAATCAAATTCAATTCACAAATCTAAAGTCATCCGCAGGTATAATAACATAGTAGCTCTACACTCACACACAATAGAAGTTACCTTAGAGGTTTGTTTACCTGCGCGAAGGTGCAAGAAGTCATTTGAAACGTAGCCGAAACTAGACACATCTTGATTGCGACTGTGAGACGCGGTTCCCCTCGCCGCCTGTCTGATAAATAAGCCGCCTCTGGTTGCTCAAAATTTGACAAACAACTCACAATACATCAAGTGTCAGTTAGCTGCAGGAAAGAGGGGCTACGCAAATGGGCGTGGCTGACCGAGTCATGCAATAAGATCCCCGAGCCCTGATCTCTTGAACTGATTAGTGGTTGCTGATCATAAGAGCATTCCAGTGCGCATCATTGAGGCGCTTTGTCGGTCGAGTTCGTGTCTTCAGTCTTTCGTTTTCTCGACCAATCATGCGTGCAGTCCATATCATTAAATAATTATATGTTACTTGCCAATAATTTTTGGATTTCAATCAAACGTCATTTTCTAATCAACAACTTTTCCTTAACAATAACAAAACAAAACCGAAATTCCCAGCCTCAGCTTCCGTCTACCTCTCGACAGTGAAAGTGCCTCAAAATCCTATTCTAAAAGCGAATTAATGCTGATGCCCCGAGTGTCTTTTGTGCGAGTGAAATAAGAAAAAAAAAGAGCGCTTAATCATCTTGAAAAACAGTTGACAATATCATAGACGAGTAGGTTTCATAAGTTTTCCAACTTGCATCTGCTATATGGCGGTGCTATGGTGGGCGCTTTCTCGGCGCCTTCGTCGATTAGTTACAATTGACACGAAAAGTTTTTCTCTTTCTTTCGTTGTTTTCATACATTTTTTAATTGTGAGAATTGTGTACGGTACGTGCACATAATGCCACAAGAAAGTGGATCTCTGGTGCGTCCGGCAAAACGTTTTGGCGCTGTCATTGTCGGCAATTGTTAAAAAGTGATTAAGCATGCTGTGGCAAAGATATCTGCCTGCCAACACCGTAAAAGTATTTCTTTTAATTGCATTCGCTACAAAATAAAAGTAAAATTTTCATGAAATACATAATACATTTCAAGCGCAAACTTAAGGCTGAAAGTTGAGAATTATAGATATTTCTTTAATAATTTTAATAACTGTTTTTCAAAAATTATATTACAACAAAGTTTCATAATCTGATTTTTATTTATATAAAAAATTATATAAAATATAAAATGTGTTGTGTATATGTTTTTTTTTATAGAAATTCTGGGGAAATATTTTTCGTATACAATTAATATATATTTTCATTTCTTCATTAATTTTAATTTTAATTTTAATTAATTTTTTTAATACATTTTCTAAAATCAGAATTTTATCTCTTAAATACATAATAAATTATGTTCTAGAATTATTTTAGAACAATTCGGATAAATCATATAGAATACATATGTATATATAATATAAATAAATATAAATAATTCATCATTTTTGCTCATTCTAATTTAAGTATAAAACTTATATTAGAACGAGTTTTTAAATCAAAATTTTCTTCAGGCATTTGCGAATAAGTTTTGAGAGCTCTGAACTAGAAATAATTTAACAGAAGATCAAAATGTAGACAGTTTAAATATAAAGAAACTCGGAAATGTAAAAGTCCATTTTTGGTTTATGTTATCTATCTCTACATTCATTCTCCCTCTCCGTCTCCCTCTCTCTCTCTCTTTTTAAAATACTTAGCTAGCATATAAAAGACTTGGGCAAGCAACTTATGCATTCCTCAAACAACGCTCACTTTCAGCTTACAGCCGAAATTTTCAGGCAAATAGCTTGGCAAAAAAGCTATAAAATTCACATGAGTGCTTCACACCACAAGCAAACAAAACCACACACATACATACATAGATACACACCCTCAGCTCTTAGCTTGACTCTTGACTTGTCTGCCGCCTGCATATTTATTTCCAACTTGGCTTTAACCTGTTTGCGTTTCGATGTTGTAGTTGTTTCTTTTCGCTGCATTCTCGAGACCATCTTTGAGTTTGAAGTAGCTGCGTCTTGAATTTCAAAAAATCACTAAAAAAAAAAAACTGTTACTGGTGCCGATGGCGATGACTGCGCCGTGGCTCCGATCATGATAGCTACTCTTTATACCCTGGCATGATATCACAGCTGCGTTTGCCTCGCTGACTTCACACTCATGAGTGGGTGTTTGACTGTATGTGTGAGTGTGCGTGTGTGTGTGTGTGCCGAGGTGCAGCTCCATTGCATATTTAGCATTTTTTTCCACCTCGCTTTGGTCAGACTTTTAGCTTGTTTTGTTGATTTGCTTCTGATACTACAATATTTGTGCTATGATTTTTGTTTCTATGGCTCTGTTTGAGTTTTCCACTTCACTTTTCATTAAACGAAAACACATTGCAAAGCAAAACTCTTACTTGTCTATTAACAAATTAAACATTAATTGCGCTCACTGGACTACGCCCCGTCCCCTCGTCTCCTTCGACTAGCACTGCATTGTGAAAGCGTTTGGACAGTAGAAATCATTTGACCATTTGTGTATGCTACTCGTGTGTGTGTGTGTGTGTGTGTGTGTGTGTGTGCTCTGCTCAGCTTTCGTCAGTTTGCACATAAAAACAAATATTATTTTTGTTTTTTAAGCTTAAACATATTTACTAGCTGCTGGCGACGCGAGGCATCGGTGGCAAGTTACAAAAAAGACAAACACGAAAGACAGAGAGAGAGAGAGAGAGAGAGAGAGAGAGGGGGAAAACTGTATTGGCTGGTAAATATGTTAGCGTGCCTTTATTTGTCCATCCAGAAATAGCCAAACAATCCACTTGAAGATTTATCCATGGAAAACGATGATGAAAGCCTGCGATAATCATGAGGCCAATTTATATCCATGCAATTAACCTCTAGTCGAACCTCTAACTGTAATTACCCAACCTACGCCGACCGCAAATTGTATGCGCGGACCACAACCTTCACAGCTCATTAGACCCTTCAAGTGCTCAGTGCTTAGCGATCTCCCTCTCCCTCTCTCTCTCCCGCTCTCTCTCTCTGTCTCAGTGGATAAGCCACAACGCGAACCACTTTAAATGCGAGCACAGCTTCAATAGCTTCAAAGACTGACTGAGGCTTTTGGCTACATTATTTATGGCAACCCAAATACCAAAACCGTTCACAAATGCCACATGCCACAAAATGAAACTAGTTCAATGGGGCTGCCCAGCTGGTTTTCTGAGGCTGTAAGTGGAGTCTGGCTGGACAGTGGCCAAGCAGGCAACAGACTCCAAGCATCGCTTGAAGCTGCTGCTGCTGCTGCTGCTGCGGCTACCTGCGAGCCCAAATTAAACACACAAATTTGTGCTAAGGCAAAATATCAATAACACACACACACACACACAAACAAACACA